TCTCCCCCCCTCTCGCAGCAGACTGCTGCATGCATCGCCTCCCCCCCTTCCTCCTCCTCCTCCTCCGCCTCCTCCTCCTCCTCCTCCTCCTCCTCCTCCCTCCTCCCTCCTCCTCCTCCTCTTCCTCCTCCTCCTCCTCCTCCTCCGCCTCCTCCTCCTCCTCCTCCTCCTCCTCCTCCTCCTCCTCCTCCTCCTCCTCCTCCCCTCCCCCTCCAGAGGTTCCGTCGGCAAGCCCGGCGCCTCCCGGGCACTCTCCAAGAGGCTTACAGAGACCCAGGACGCCCTTAGAAAGGCCATTCGACGGCCCACATCGGCACCACGACGGCCCCACGACGGCGCCGAGGCACCCCCCATACGGCCAAGAGGGCCGTCCAAGAGAGCCCTGGGACGGCCCAAGAAGGCCGCCCAAGACGGCCCACGATGGCCTAGGGGGCCCACCGAACTGCCCCACAGGAGCCCAAGGCAGCCGTAAGACGGCCCACATGAGCTTCATGAGAGCTCGTCCAGAAGTGAAGACGCTCGGGGCCCGGCCTCTCCTCGTGGCCCCTTCTAGAACCTCCCCCCCCGACTCCCCCTCGGCCCTCTCTCTCCGCCGCCCTCCTTGCTCCTCCCCCCCCCCGCCGCCTCTCCCTCTCGCTCCCCCTCCCCACGTCGATCCCCCCCTCCCTCCTCCTCCCCCCCCTCCTCCTCCTCCTCCGCCTCCTCCTCCTCCTCCTTCCATTTTTTCCCTTACAAGTAACTTCTCCCTGTCGCACCCCGAGGCCAGTTTTTAGGGCGGGCTGGGCGTTTCGCCTGAGACTTCCTCACCACTTATGACTCTGAAACTTAAAAGTGGCAACAGTTTCACGGATGGAGGGCGGGTGGTTTTCAAAATGCGGCTGTCGCCTCAGCGCGGCGCACATTCCGTTTTTGTTTTTTTTTTTTTTTTTTTTTTTTTTTTTTTTTTTTTTTTTTTTTTTTTTTTTTTTTTTTTTTTTTTTTTTTTTTTTTTTTTTTTTTTTTGTTTTTCATTATATATATATATATATATATTATAAAAAGAATTTCTATTACAAAAAATGTTAAACAAAAAAATAAAACTTACCAGACTTTGTGGGCCCCGGAAACGGCAGGGCCGTTTTTTCACCGTTTCCAACAAATGTCCCTTCAAAATGGAAACGGCAAAAAAAAAAACGGCGACCGGAAACGACAAAAAAACGGCTCCAGGATTGGAGCGGGAGCCAGAACCGGTCAAACAACGGCGACGGAACCGGTAAAAAAACGGCGTCGGAACCGGTAACAAAAACGGCCCTGTCGTTTCCAGGGCCCACTAAGTTACCAGAGCTTCACGCATTGAGGGTGGGTCGTTTTCAAAATGTGACTCTTGCCTTAGCGCGGCGCGCATTCGTATTGAAAAATTGAAAGATTTGCACGAATTTAATGCGGTTCCTTTTCAAATGCGGTTCCTTTTCAAAATGTGGCTCTCGCCTTAGCGCCGCGCATATTCGTTTTAAACATTTGCAAGAGCTTCACGGATTGAGGGCGGTGCCTTTTCAAAATGTGGCTCTCGCCTTGGCGCGGCGCACATTCGTTTCTGAACATTTGCAAGAACTCCACGGATCGAGGGCGGGTCGTTTTCAAAATGCGGCTCTCGCCTCAGCGTGGCGCACATTCGTATTACAATTTGAAAAAATTGAGGGCGGTTTCTTTTTAAAATGTGGCTCTCGCCTTATCGCCACGCACATTCGTTCTTCACAATTTGAAACAGTTTCACGGATTCCCATTATTCATGTACCAAAAGTTGTGTTTGAACGGATTCAGGATTACGCGGGCGCAACAGTCATGTTGATTCGCTGTGTTGAAGTCCCAGGAATGGCGTTCTGGCGCGACTCTGTATCGTCAACACGCAACAGTCAGGTTGATCCGTGGCGTTGGAACCCCGAGAACAATGTTTTAGCATGCTGCAGAGTCTTTAAACGGTTGTCTTCCAACGAGGCAGTTCCCTCAATGGAAACGAACCGTTGTGGTGGCCTGTGAAGAGGGAGCTCGGAGGGAGGGTTTATTCCAACATCGTTCACGCCTCTTGGGTTTACACTGGTCCTCCTCCTCCTCCTCCTCCTCCTCCTCCTCCTCCTCCTCCTCCTCCCCCGCCCTACCCGCGTCCTGCCTCCGATCCTCTCTGCCGCCCGCCGCCCTCCCCCCCCCCTGGGGCCCCCCGGCGCGGCGGTCCCCCTATTCAGGAGGTCTGCCAGCGCCGGCTCTGCCCCCATCGCCGCGCCGTGGCGCGCGCGGCGCGCGCGCGGCGGCGGGCGCGGCGCGGCGCTCGAGCCCTGGAGCAGTGACGACAGAGTGGAGGCCAGTTCACCAGAAACCTGCCACAAGAAACCCACCCCTGAGACCCCAGGACGTCTATGGATTCTTGTGGGTGCGGGAGCGTCACGGCTTCCATCGCAAAACCATCGACGCCCAAGAAACCCAGGGCACCCTGGCGGCAAGCAGGGTGTTTCTTGGCATGTGCTTCCACTGTATGCGTGAGGCTCTTCATGAGAGCGGCATGGCTGTCTCTGCTGGCAATACGGCGGATGAAAACGCTAAGAAGGCGAATCGTAGAAACACTCGTCGCAGCAGCAGCAGCTATATAAATTCGGCACACCTTCTGGGCGTAAGAGGCTCAGCGAATTAGTTTTTCCATTCCTTCTGGGCCGAAGTGGTTCGTTCTTCCATCCCCCTCTGCTCCTTAGGGGAGGGCTGGGCCCCTCCCCCCCCTGGGTCTGGGAGGGAGCGGTCGCGTGTCGTTAGAGCGTCCCAAGATGCCTCGAAGAGGGTCCCAGGTAAATAGCCCAAGATAGCTTCCAATGCCTCTCCAGGTAACCAAAGTTGGTCCCATCTGGTCTCCGCTCCTCAACATGGCTCCAAGAGGTCCTGAGATCGCCCCAAGACGGCTCCATGTGGCCACGGAGGCTCCCAAGGACGCCCCCGAGAGCCAGCCCAACATCCTTCCAGAACCTTGCACCAATCCACGCATTTTGCCGCCTCGCCTTTTCGCTTCCGATGGGCGATTTCGGAGCCGCAGGATGGCTCCGAAATCGCCCCCAGGAGGGCCCTAAGCGTGGTCGAAGAGGACCCGAGACGGCCCCAGGAGCGCCCCTGATCGCACCGCGAGGGCCCCACGAGATGCTGCGGCCTCCGACGGGGGGTTGCTGATCGCGGCCCTCCGTTTCGTTGTCGATCGAGGGTCTCCAAGGTGGCCCCCCGGGAGCGCCCCGAGTGAGCTGCCAAGAGTCTCCCATGCGCACCCTCTCTGTTCCACTGCGTGCTCCGGCGCTTCCCTGAACAATGCAACCCGCCGGGGCATCGCGCCCGAATGGGCTGGTGTTGGGCCGGGCATGTCCTCCTACAGGCGGACTTTGGACGAAAAATGAAACATACCCAAACAACAATCATACCATTTCCAAAAAGTAATAAAAACATCGTCCCCATAATATTTGTGTTATTTTTGAATGCTCTTCCTGTAGAAGGACATGCCCGACTTGAAAGACCAGTGGGGATCCGCAATGTTTTTTGTTAGCGTCCGCAGGCGAGAGCGCCAACGGCGAGTAAGGTCCGAGCGGGCCGCGCGGGAGCCTAGTTACCCAGCGCGGAGCAGAGCGGGACCTACCGCCGGGGGTGCCTCAGCGCCGGGGCAGCAAGAGGAGCCCGGGGCGGGGGCTGCAAGCTGCCGGGCTGCCAGGGGACGCGAAGCGCCAACAGATCGCCGACCTCCGCCTGCCAGGGGTGGCAGGGCGTGCGGCACAGTTGGCTGTCCCCCCTCCCCTTTCCCCCTCCCCTGGGGCCCAGGCTCCTGTTCGACGTGGGGGTGGGGGTGGGGGTGGCTGAGCTCCCAAGCGCGCCTCCCTGTCGGAGCCTCCACATCCATCCATCGCGGCCTCCCAGGTGCCCAGGATGAGCGGAGAAGGGGGGAGGGGGAGCGGGGGCAGAAGGAGCAGGATGAAGAAGAGGAGCAGGAGGGGGAGCGGACGCAGGAGGATGATCGGGATGAGGATGATGAGGAGGAGGAGGAGGACGACGTGTACGCTGATGGTAGTGAGGATCATGAGGAGGAGGAGGAGGCGAAGGAGGAAGATGACGAAGATTAAGAAGAGGCATAATAGGACGAGGAGGACAAGGAGCCTGTTGCCGTGGCCCCGAGTCTGGGCTCCGAAGGCAGGCACCGAACACAGTGATGATGACTCTGCTGGTAATGTTGACGATGCTGCTGCTGATGATGACGATGATGGTAGTGGTGATGCTGCTGGCTGCTGCTGCTGATGATGATAACGATGATGCTGGTGATGATGATACTGATGGTGGTGATGATGATGATGATTGTGGTGGTGGTGCTGATGTTGACTATGGCGGCGATAACGTGGACGATGACGATGATGATGCTGCTGGTGCTGCTGCTGCTGATGATGATGATGATGGTGATACTGGTGATGCTCACGATGAGGATGATGGGGATGGGATGATGAGGATGACGATGCTGATGCTGGTGGTGATGATGCTGCTGCCGCTGATGCTGATGATGCTGATGATGATGCTGTTGATGAGGATGATGATGCTGCTGCTGATGCTGATGATGCTGATGCTGTTGATGATGATGCTGATGATGCTGCTGCTGCTGATTATGACCATTATGATGCTGATGATGCTGATGATGATGATGCTGCTACTGCTGATGATGATGATGCTGCTGCTGATGGGAAGGAGGAGGCTGATGAGGATTCTGATGATGCTGCTGATGATGATGATGATGAAGATGAAGATGAAGATGCTGCTGCTGCTGCTGATGATGATGATGACGATGATGATGATGATGATGATGATGATGATGATGATGATGATGATGATGATGATGATGATGATGATGATGATGATGATGATGATGATGATGATGATGATGATGATGATGATGATGATGATGATTGATGATGATGATGATGATGACGAGGGGGAGATGCATGTTCGGAAGACTTCTGCCATCAATTGTTCTGGCGAGGTCTGCGGCAGCGTGGCCGCCACCGCCTGGCCGCCGGCCAAGCGCCCACGCGCGGGACCCGCCCATCGGGGACGGGCACGAGAAGCCGCTGCTCGTTGCCGCTGGAGCCCTTCGCTCGGACGCCGGCGGCTGCCGCACGGGGCCTGCTCGGGGGCGCGCAAAGGAAGTGGCCCACGCGCAGAGGGGGGTGGGGGGGAGGGGGAAGGCTTCTTAGAAGGAGGCTGCTTCTGAGAGGATCGCCCCGGGCCTTTCTTTTTTTTGCTGCGGCTGGCAGGGAGTGGCCACGAGGCCGGGGGGTATGGGGGAGGGGGGAAGGCTCTTAGAGGAGGCTGCTTCTGAGAGGCGCCTGGGAGCGCCTGGGCCTTCTCGGGGGGCGCGCAGGGAGCTGGCCACGCGCAGAAAGGGGGGTATATGCGGGAGGGGGGAGGGCTCCTTAGAGGGAGGCTGCTGCGGGCCTTACATTCACAGATAGGGCCCGCGCCTTCCAAGCAGCCTCCTTCTGAGAAGCCTTCCCCCCTCCCCCTCGTCGTCCTCCTCCTCCTCCTCCTCTTCCTCCTCCTCCTCCTCCTCCTCCTCCTCCTCCTCTGGCAAGGAGGGGGGGAGCTCCGGCGCCTCCCCCCGCCCGACTCTCGGGAGGCCTCCCGGGGGGGGGGAGGGGGGCCCTCGAGGCCAGCACGGCGGGGCGCAGCCCGAGAGGCTCTGGCCAGGAGGGGCCTCGGGGATCCGTTGGGGGCGGGTTCTGAGCGGGGGTGGTTGTCAGAGGGGGGGAGCGGGGGCGAAGAGGGGGGGGAAGGAATGGGGGCGAAGAGGGGGCGACTTGGGGTCCTGGGCGGGGGAAGTGGGTGCGAAGAGGGGGGGTGGCGGCCTCCCGAGAGGCCTTCTCTCGGGGAGCGAGCACTGGGTGGTGAGCGTCTTTTTAGTCGGCGTTTCGACATTGGGCGGAAAGGGGGGGGAGGGGGGAAAGGGGTCTGGCTCCGGACCCCTGGCTTAGTGCGACTGTTTGCAGCAGTGGGTCCTATAAGGGGGAAGGACTCCACCTGCTCGACACAGGCGCCAAAAACAGCCACGATCCACTCCATGGGGGGGGACGGGGGGGGCGAGAGCCCGCGCCGATCGGCAAAACAATGAATAAGAAAACGATCACATTTTTGGGTGGGGGAAGGGGGCGAGGAGGGGGGCGGCCTCCAGCGAGGCCTTGTTTCGGGCAGCGAACAGTGACACAAACACAACAACACGGAGGTCCGCGCCGCGCGGACTTCTCGGATCCGCGCGGACCTACGAGCTTTTATGTTTATGTCACTCTTCGTTCCCCCAGCCTTGGGGCGAATGGGGGGGGCGGCCTCCAGAGAGACCTTCTGGGAAAAGGCGGGGACCTTCGAAGGAAGCCTTGCGTAAATCTGTACTTCGAAGAGCAACGCAAACAACGGCACGAACATAACCTTTCGCCGCTGCGCCAAGAATTTATGTTCATGCCGTTTTCCCTTGCTCCTCGGATGCTAACCGTTACTAACCTGTGCCTCGAATAACAAACATGAACGGCATGAACAGAACCTTCCGGCGCTGCGCCAAGAGCTCCTCGGATACTAACCTGTGCCTCGAAGAGCAAAACAACAAACGGCACGAACAGAACCTTCTGGCGCTCCGCCACGAGTCCATGGTCATGCCGTTTTCTTGTTCCTCGGATAATAGGCTGTGCCTCGAACGACAAACAAACAAACGGCACGAACAGAACCTTCCAGCGCTCCGCCAATAGTCTATGGTGATGCCGTTTTCTTGTTCCTCGGATGCTAACCTGTGCCTCGAAGAACAAACACAAACGACATGAACAAAACCTTCGGGATCTCCGCCAAGAGTTTATGGCTATGCCGTTTTTTGTTCCTCTGATACTTCTAGGTCGGGCATTCCCCCCTACAGGCGGATTTGGGACGCAAGAAACATATCCCACACATATTCCCAAAATGGTCAAACATAACCCTCAAATCGTCCCCAGACTATTTTTTGGACTATTCTTGAATATTCCTCCTGTGGAGGGACACGCCCGACTTGATCCTGGAGAGACAGAAGTACCACTACCACCAGCTAGGGGGGTGGCCGCTCCCTCCCCTCGAGCTGGTGGCACCTCCTTCGGGGGAGCTCTCTGGAGGCATGTCCGGAACGAGGTGCCACCAGCTCGAGAGGGTGGGACAGCCACCCCCCTAGCTGGTGGTAGTGGTACTCTTGCCTCTGGTATCACCAATTGGTGAAGTATCACCAATTGGTGATCACCTCTTGTCTCTGGTATCCACGCGGACCTCCTGAAGTATCACCAATTGGTGATACTTCAGGAGGTCCGCGTGGATCTCTCTTCGCTCGGCGCTGGGCGCCCCCCCGTCGCCCCGCGCCCCTTCCGAGCCGAGCGGAAAGCGCGCCGGGAGGCGCGCCGCAGGCATGGCCACGGGTGCTGGGCGAGGGGGGCCTGCGATCGCTCGTCTCCGTGGCTTCGTTGGTCTTCGCATTCTGATGCGCTCTCTCCCATCGGCGACGAGCGAGGTTTTTTTGTTGGAGAGGGGGAGAAGGGAAGGTCAGGGAACTCGCAAAGCACCAGCCACATCGGCGACGAACGAGGGGGGAAATGAGAAGGAGAAGGCCTTCTCAGGAGGCTCGGAAATATTCCCCGGCCTTCCGAGAGAAGGCTTCTGAGCCTCCCCCCGAAGGCAAGAGAAGCATCTCAGAAGGCGCGAGGGCTTCTGAGAAGTCGCGCCCCGCCGCCTTCTGAGAAGGCCTTCTCCTTCTCACTTCCCCGCCTCGCTCGCCGCCGATTGCAGTGGGCAGGGCCCTTCTGCAGTGGAGCTGGAGACACGCGTGGACAGGTTTAGGTTGGGCATGTCCTTCTACAAGCGGATTTTCGGAGGAAAACAGGCATGGGTCAAAAACTGCGCAAAAATAGCCAAATCTAGTCGGAAAGTCGTCCCCAGACTTTGTTTTCATTGTTTCTGCATGTTTCTCCTGTAGAGGGGCATGCCCGACTTCAGCGAAGGGGCCCTGGGACATACAAATAAATACGTACACGCAAATCCCAGGATTCCCTCTATGTTTCAAGTTTTTTTTGATTCTCGCCTCCCCCCCACTTCCAATATTTTAGCAGATATTTTGTTGGGAACCGACGATTCAGTGTGTCTGTTTGTTTTTTCCACCTCTGATTAAGGCCAGGTTTAGGTCGGGCATTTTCTGTGCCGGCGGAATCTGGACGACAAATAAACATCGTCTAGAACCATTCCAAAGATCTTCGCCCGACTATCTTGTTGACTATTTTGGAATAGTCCCCCTGTAGAAGTACAGGCCCGACTTAATATTAACGCCGTGCCCACATGCGGAACATGCGGCTGGCCATGCGCGGGACATTTCCGCGGGCGGCGGGCCGGCGGGGCCCCTCCGCACCGACGGCCGAGGCCTGGCGACACTGCTCCTCCCTCGGCGGCGAGGCAGAACTGGCTGCACCGAGACGCGAACCGGATCGGACAAGAACGGGAAGCGCCGCTGTAGTCTAATGGGCGTATTGGGCGCAGAAGAAAAGGAACGCGAGGGCAACGATGAGTCGATGACGAGGATGACGTGGCGAACGTGAGGATAGCGAGGAGGAGCATGAGGACAACGAGGAGGAAGAAAAACACAAGGACGAGGACGAAGAGAACGAGGGCGAGCACGAGAAGAAATGTGGAGGGCGATGACGACGACGACGACGACGACGACGACGACGACGACGACGACGACGACGACGACGACGACAGAGGACAGTAAGAGGCAATTGGAGGAAGACGTTGCTCTTGGCGCCGCGCGGAGTTGTCTGGGGCCTATTCGGGGCTTCTTGGGGGCCCCTTGGGTCCTCTTATGGGCTTGTGGAGTCTTCTTGGGCTGTCTGGGCGCGCCGTCGGGTTCAGTGGGAGCTTTCTTAGGCCGTCTCGTTTGGGGGCCTCCTGGGGCGCTTCCCGGGAGTCTCTTGGGGCCTTCTTGGCCCTTCTCGGGCCGCCTCGGGGTTCTTGTGAGCTGCCTGGGTGGCTCCTAAAACGCTCTTGGGGGTCTCTTGGGGTCTTCTTGGGGCGCTCCTGGGGCTCTCCGGGGCGTCGCGTCTTTTGGGCCTCCCTTGGGCCGTTGGAAAGCCCTCCCAAAGCGATTCGAACGCGCCGTCGATTCGGAATCCCCTCTTGGGCCAATGTTTGGAGGATGTCTAAAGCGAAACGGCTATTTTTCAAACGCCCGCCAGCGTGTTTTCAAAGTGCGCTCCGTATCCCATCATTAATTTCAACCACCACCAACAAACGGTCCACGCCAAGGGCGCTTTTTTGAAGACGCAACCCCAACACTGAGGTCTCGCGAGCATCCGCAGGGCCAGCCGCGAGGTCGGCCCGCGCGTGTGCGCGTCCACGGGCGCAGCATACGAGCTTACCACCACCTGGTGGGGAAGCTCGCACAGCAGCGCGCGACCCTTTGGCCACGGGTTGGCGGCGAGCAACGATTTTCAAACAGCGCAACGCATCATGTGCAGGAGATGCATGGTGCAGCATGGCGGGAGCCGCCCTTACCAGCAATGCGAAGTCGGCCATCCAAGGGCAGGGCTGCGGGCCGACCCAAACTCAAAGTTACCAACGCAGCGGGCCAAGAAGGAAGGAGGGCGGACGGGGAGGCACAAACGTGGGGAAACACACAGAACTAACCAGGCGCCTGCGGCAGGCTTCCTGATGAAATGAGCGCTGGTGCGTGCAACCTGGTGGACCCACCTGAAGTATACCCAACATCCGAGACTACTACTTCGCTTCCTCGAGCTCGCGGCGTGGAGCGAGGAACATGGTCGTCGTCGATCAGATGTCCCGCAAACTCATGCCACTTCGACGTCCCACGGGGTTGTGGGATGGAATCGATTTGCACACGGTGGCGGTCGGTCGCTCCAATCCAGCAGCGCGACGCCTGGAACGGGTTCTTCTGAAGGGCCTTTTCGCTGGCAGCGGACGCCGCCTGGGGTGCCGCAGGGACCTGCAGCAAAATGCTCTCGGCCATGCCTTCCTCCACGGCGGCGACAACGGACAAACGGGTTTCCTCCTCCACACAAGCCACGGAGGAATGTTGCATACGTGTGCCCGCCAGTTGTGCCAGCTGCCATCGCTGTGTAGCTGTGATACCGCTCCAGGAAGCAATCCGCGTGGATTCCATCCTTGGGGAATGCGTGATGATGTAATCGGGGCGATCCCGAATCTGAGTTTCAGGCGCGTAGGCTTTGTCAACGTCTGGGGTAACCACATGGCTGGAGTGTGCCGCAACGTCCTGGCCTTCATGAAGGTCGACCTCAGACCACATCCGCCCTCTGGCGAGTCTGGCTCGGCAGGCGCGTTGATAGCTCCTTGTGCTGTGCACTGGTTCGCTCCCATCCTCGGCGACGGTCGAAGGCATGGAACTCCACGGTGATCGTGCCGTCACCGAACGCTCGGCCCTCCAGCGTGGGTAACTTCGGCTAGCGATGGCCTTGGAAGAAGGATAATCAAAACGTGTCCCGCCATCAACTGCATGCATGCTGTGCGGGGGCTTGCGACCCCGCCGACACACGAGAAACGCCAAGAATCGCTCGAACCAGGGCCTTCCAAGGGCGCTTCCCGTCATTCGCCGGCGTGCAAGATCGAGGTGAACGAAAGGGAGGGGATAGCAAAGGGCAGGGTAGAGAAGCGGCTCACGTAGCCGATTTTTCCAGCGCCTCCTGGCGCCGGGAGGCGCCCATGTATCGAGGAATGGGCCTGGCGACGGGGCCGAAACCAGCTGCATGCAGCAGACTTCGTAACCCCCCCTTTCCCTATCCCCCCCCTTCGTTCGGCCCGACAAGAGCAGAAAAGAGAAAAACGCCACAAACAGAAACTCATGGCGCTCCGCGCGGCTTTCTGCGAGGCACCGCTGGGGGGGGGGGCCAGCGCGGATCCAAGGACTCCGCGCGGAGCGCCAAACTCTTATACTTCTGGCTATGTTTCTCCTCCTTCTTCTTCTTCGAGAAAGAGAGAGAGAGAGAGAGAGAGAGAGAGAGAGAGAGAGAAAAAAAAAAGAGAAACAGAGAGAGAGAGAGAGAGAGAAAGAGAGAAAGATAAGAGAGATGAGAGAGAGAGAGAAGAGAAGGGTACAAAAGGGTAGGCGGCGTCCGCCGCGGGGGGGGGTGGGGGGGAGGCAACGACGAAAGGCCACTCCGGGGCGGGCGAGTGTGCACCGGAGTATGCTGGCGCGGCCGGCCCCGCAGGCCTGGAGACCCGCGCGCGCCCACGCGTGCGCTCCGCTCTCCCGGCCGCGCGCAGGCTGCGTGCGGCCGGAGGGGGCCGCGGGGCACGCCAGCTCCAGGCGTGCGGGGCAGCACTGCGGGGGGACCCCTGCTGGCCCGCACCCTCCCCTCCCTGTCCCTCCCGTCCCTCCACTTCCTCCCTCCCTTCCTCCCTCCCTCCCCTCCCTCCCTCCCTCCCTCCCTCCTCCCTCCCTCCCTCCCCGCCGCCGCCGCAGCAGGCGAACCCCCCTGAGCCTCAAACAACGTACACCCACTCTTGGACCCCTTCCTACCCTGAGGACCCCATTTCCTCCATCTTTGGACCGACGAGCCCAGGAAAACAGGCGCTCCAGACACAAACGCTCCGCGCGGATTTCTTGGGTCTGCGCTGGACCCCCCTCCCTGGTGCACGGAGCGCGCCAAGGGCGGCGCCGGAGGCGCCGCCGAGGGAGCCCAGCGCGGATCCAAGAAATCCGCGCGGAGCGTCAACGTTTGTGTTTATGGCGTTTTACTCCTTCGAGAACTGTGGGGACCCCTGTGGGCCCGCACCAAAGATCACTCCTGCGAGAGGTCACTTTTGCGCGTAGCCGACTCTCGCTCAAACTGGCCTCGTCGCGCGCACCCATTGAGCAGGAATCGACTGCTCCTGCATTCCTATGGGCCTACCACGACATGTTTTTCAGAACCCAATAGTGCTCGAATCACAGAAACAATGTTCTTAGGACATGAACCCGATGTGCTCAAACATTTAAGTCGGCGGTGGACAAAACTCCCTTTAGTAAACCTCCCCTTAATGAAAACGGCCTGGGACCGGAACCAACGGACCTGGACCCGCAAAAACGACGGCCGCGACGCCCTCTCGCGAACCGAAAACGGCCAGTTCCTCCATCGACGTGTCAGGGCAGGAGGTCTATCCACCTCCGATTAAGACGGTCTCAGCCAGACATGTTCAATAGGGGAACAACAAATGACATAAACATAAAAACTCGGAGGTCCGCGCGGATTTCTCGGATCGGCGCTGGACCCTCCTCCCTGGCGCGCGGAGCGCGCCATGGGCGGCGCCGGAGGCGCCGCCGGGGGGGCCCCAGCGCCGATCCGAGAAATCCGCGCGGACCTCCGAGTTTTTATGTTTACGCCACTTTCTGCTCCCCTGTTCAAAGGAGGTCTCGCGCAAACCCTGACAGGCTCTCAGCACATGCTCTGGTGGGCCTACCGGCGAGCCGGGACGCTTCGCCACTGCTTGACGCCTGCCCGAGCCGGGCAGAGAGCGCGCGCCGGGAGCCGCGCCGCGGACGCGGCCGCGGGTGCCGGGGGCCCGGGGGGGGCCGCGGGCGCTCGTCTCTGCGGCTCTGTTGGTCTTCGACTTCCGGGCTGGGCAAAAGGAGGAGGAGGAGGAGGAGGAGGAGGAGGAGGAGGAGGAGGAGGAGGAGGAGGAGAACCAGTCCTGGCGGCGGCACCCGGCGCGGGTGCAGATCCGGGGGGCGAGGGCCAAGGCACTGATCGGGTCGGGCGCAAGGGGGGGATAGCAAAGGGGGGGTTTGAGAATCAGCTCACGTAGCTGATTCTCCCGGCGCCTCCCGGCGCCCGGGGCGGCTATGTATCGAGGAATGGGCCCCCTCGGTGGGGCCGAAACCAGCTGCATGCAGCAAATTTCGTAACCCCCCCTTTCCCACCCCCCCCCTTTCGTCCGGCCCGAGACTTCCGATGCGCCCTCTTACAGTCGGGGCGTTGACCTAAGGAACGATACATAAGGAACGAGGTCGCTTCTTCCCGTTAAGTTAAACTTCGATGTCCCATGGAAAACCCATGGCAAACTGTAAAACAATCAAGGGACATCGAGCCCCTCGCCAACGAGAAGGGTTCCTTCTTCAGCGCCCCGACTGTACTAGAGGTCAAGCAGAATCCACCCCCATGATAACCACCCCACACGCGAAGTCGTTTACTAAACGCCCAACGTCCCCACTGAAGGAATCGAACAGGGCAGGGCTGTTTAATAAACGCCCAGGGCCGTTTAGTAAACGCCAATTGTCTGGTCTGGGTGGGTTTGCCTCCCTTGATGCTGCGCTCCCTTACATCGGCGACGAGGACCCCTGCGAAAGGTCAGCTCTTGACCCCTGCGAAAAGCCAACTCTCCGCCCAAGCCAGCCACGTCACGCGCACCGTGCCTCCTGCCAAGCGGCGCCCTCGCCGGCCGGAGAAGCAAGCAAACCTCCCCTCTCTCGCCCTGCCCCCAGTTGCGCGCCGCGGGGCCTCCTGCAGCAGCTGCCGCCGGCTGAGGCCCGAGGTCTCGCTGGCACTCTCGCTGGCGTCGGGGGGCGCCAACTGCCGTCGTCGCCGCCGCCGCACTCGTCGCCGCCATCGTGGCCGTGGTCGTCGTGGTCGTCGTGGCCGTCGTGGTGGTCGGCGTCGGCGTCGTCGTTGTGGAGGCCGTCGTCGAGGCCACCGTCGTCGTCGTCGTCGTCGTCGTCGTCGTCGTCGTCGTCGTCGTCGTCGTCGCTGGCCAGGCCTTTCGTGGGCCCCGGGGTCGGTGGGCACGCCTCCCCTGGCCTTGCTGAGAGGGCGTGCGCGCCGGCCCGCGTGGCCAGGGTAGGCCTGACAGGAGGAGGAGAAGGAGGAGGAGGAGGAGGAGGAGGAGGAGGGAGGAGGAGGAGGAGAGGGGAGGAGGAGGAGCAGGAGCAGGAGGAGGAGTAGGAATGAGGCGGAGGAGGAGGAGGGAGGAGGAGGTAGTAGGATGAAGGATGGGATGAGGATGAGGATGAGATGGAGGAGGAAGGAGGAGGAGGAGGAGGAGGAGGAGGAGGCGGAGGGAGGAGGAGCAGAGAGAAGAGGAGGAGAGGAGCAGGAGCAGGAGGAGGAGGAGGAGGAGGAGGAGGAGGACGGTCCGCTGGCGCCCCCCCCGGTGGCATCGTCCGAGTCCTCGCCGCTGCTCTCGCGGAGCGGCGGCAGCGGGGCCTGGGCCTGCGCCTCCAGACGCGAGAGGAGGGCGTAGGCGCCCTGGCGGACGCCGCAGAGCTGCAGCTGGGCCACCATGTCCAGGGGATAACCCGCGGTCAGGTCGGGGGTGGGGTATACCTGCTCCGAGATGGAGGAGGAGGGGGAGGAGGAGGAGGAGGAGGAGGAGGAGGAGGAGGAGGAGGAGGAGGAGGAGGAGGAGGACGAGGAGGAGGAGGAGGAGGACCAGTGCAAGCCCGAGAGGCATCAACAATGTTGGAATCAAACCTCCCTCCAAGCTCCCTCTTCATAGGCCCCTACAACGGTTCATGTTTCCTGAAGGGAATGGCCTCGTTGGAAGACAACTGTTTGAAGACCCTGAAGCATGCCAAATCATTATTCTCGGGATTCCAACGCCACGGATCGACCTGACTGTTGCGCCTTGACGATCCTGAACCGTGCCAGAACGCTATTCCTGGGACTTGAACACCGCGAACCAACATACCTTGTGCACCCTCATAAGCCTGAATCCATCCCACACACATTTCTGGTACGTTGATCTTGGGAATCTGTGAAACTCTTGCAAATCTGTAAAACGAATGTGCGCGGCGCTAAGACTAGAACCACATTTTGAAAACCACTCGCCCCCAATCCGTGAAATTCTTGCAAATTTTGAAAACGAATGTGGGCGGCGCTAAGGCGGCAACCACACTTTGAAAACGCCCCGCCCTCCATCTGTGGAGCTGCTGCCAATGTTTAAGCTTCAGAATAATAAATGGTGAGGAGGCCTCAGGCGGAACGCCCGGCCCGCCCTAACAACTGGCCTCGGGGTGCGACGGGAAGAAGATATTTCCCGAATCATAGCTTGCCTCTGTAGGGGTCCTAGCGGATTCATATGGTTAGGTTAGGTTTGTCGCCGATTTTCGCTGCATGCCCGGGTGCCCGGGTGCCCAGGGGTGCCCGGGTGCCCGGGTGCCCAGGCGTGCCTGGGGGTGCCCTATAGCCCAATAGCCCAATAGCCCAATAGCCCTATAGCCCTATAGCCCTACAGCCCTACAGCTCTATAGCCCTATTTCCCTATAGCTCAATCGCCTTATAGCCCTATAGCCGTATAGTCCCATGATTGGTTTTTCTCGGGTATCATTATAAGGAGAAGGAATGGAGGAGGATGAAGAGGATGAGGAGGGGGATGATGATGATGATGATGATGATGATGATGATGATGATGATGATGATGAGGAGGAGGAGGAGGAGGAGGAGGAGGAGGAGGAGGAGGGGAGGAGGAGAACACGAGGAGTAGGAGGAGGAGCGAGCGTCCGTCCCTGAGGAGGACGGAGGATGAGGAGGATGCGTAGGAGGAGGAGGAGGAGAGGAAGGAAGGGAGGAGGAGGGAGGAGGTGGAGGAAGTGGAGGAGGAGGAGGAGGACCTGCTCGGAGACGTCGAAAGCTCGCAGGCCCAGCACGGCCAGCAGCAACTCCACCACGCACAGGTAGCAGCCGGAGACCAGCGTGGCCAGCTGATCTGGGGGGCCGATGCGGGTCTCTGGCAATTCGATGCTCCACTTGAGGAACGTGTCGCTGAGGAAAAACAGCGTCAGCAGCATTTCGACGAGCTTGCTAGATACCATCTGCATCACGACAAACAGCTGCCGCTCCCTCAAGCGCTTGGTCGTCTCGGGCACTGCTCGGCTCAGCACGTGATCCGCGGACCCCACCCGCCGTGGGCGAGACGGCGTGTCAGATGCTTGGCTGTTTCTGTCCGTGCCCGTGCTCTCTTCCTGGGCTCGGCCCCCGCGCTGCCTGCGGAGGACGCTCTGCCATGCCTGGGCTCCAGCAGATGCTCCGTAGGCGACCCGAGGAGGGGAGGGCGATGATGATGATGATGATGATGATGATGATGATGATGATGATGATGATGATGATGATGATGATGATGATGAGGAGGAGGAGGAGGAGGAGGAGGAGGAGGAGGAGGAGGAGGAGGAGTAGGAGGGAGGAGAGGAGGAGGGGGAGGGGGAGGGGGAGTAGGAGAGGAGGAGGAGGATGAGGAGGAGGAGGAGGAGGAGGAGGAGGGGGAGGAGGGGAGGTGAGGAGGAGAAGGGGAGGAGGAAGGAGGGGAGGAGGGAGGAGGAGATGAGGAGGAGGAGGAGGAGGAGGAGGAGGAGGAGGACGAGGAGGCGGAGGAGGAGGAGAGAGGAGGAGGACGGGTCGCCTAAGCCCTTCGGAGGAACCCTCCACGCCCAGCCAGGCCCCATGCAGCGCAGCTGCTTGTTCTTCTTCGACGCCCTGCGCTATGGCCTTGGCACCTGGTGCCTGCTCGTCGGCAAGGCCTGGAGACGCGTGTGCTCCTGGGCTGCGCGCTGCCGGCTCTGTCTGGCATTCGGTCGGGCATGTCCCCCTGCAGGCGGATTTTGAACGATGGTCAACACATGCTCAAACATAGTCAAAACCTAAGAAAGAATATCGTCCCCAGACATTTTTTGATAATTTTTGAATCTTCCTCCTGTAGAGGCACACGCCCGACTTCAATCTGGCACCCTTTGGGAGCTTGACTCTTGCTCTCGTGGAGGATCCCAACACCGTGTGGTGACAGACCGTCCGGTGACCTCGGAGCCCCCAGAGACCTCACCGCACAGTCCGTCATCGCGCGGTCCTGGGACCCCAGAGGCCCTGGTCGCCCGAGTCATAGACATCCTCAGAGAGGGACTCCGAGTCCCAAAACCGTGCAGTGACCCCGAGTCCCCACCGACTCGCCACGCGGTGTGGTCACACACACCCCGTTCGGGGGCCCCCGAGGAATTTCCCTCTGCGGCCCAGTCGGTCGGCTTCGCCCCGGAGTGTGGCGCCGAAAGCCGCCGCCCGGTCGCCTGCTGCAGCGACGTCCTGCTCCTCCTCCTCCTCCTCCTCCTCCTCCTCCTCCTCCTCCTCCTCCTCCTATTAATCCTCCTCCTCCTCCTCCTGCTCCTCCTATTAATCCTCCTCCTCCCTCCTCCTACTCCTCCTGCTCCTCCTCCTACTCCTCGTGCTCCTCCTCCTACTCCTCCTCCTTTCTATCGGCTGTTCCTCCTCTCCTCCTCCTCCTCCCCCTCCGCCTCCCTCCTCCTCCTCCTCCTCCTCTCCTCCCATCCTCCTCCTCCTCCTCCTCCTCCCTCCTCCCCTCCTCCTCCTCCTCCCTCTCCTCCTCCTCCTCCTCCTCCGCCTCCTCCCTCCCCTCCTCCTCCTCCTCCTCCTTTTTGAAAAGGCGGCCAGAGATAGGCCGAAGAGGAAGGATGCAGGGGCCCCCTTGGAGAACTGCTCATCCTTACTACTTCGAGTAGGGGATCGACAACAGAATTGATTTGCCCCAAAACTGATTCTCCAGTCGAATCTACGATGAAAACGAAGAATGTTTCGTCGACCTACGAGCTTTCTACGTATTGTTTTGAGACTCGACGAGAAAATCAATTCCAGAGTAACTCAATCCTGTAGCCGATCCCCTACTCGACTACTGTGAGTGTTGACTGTGCACGTCGGTCGGAAGACGTAGATAAGAACACGAAGGAGGAAGGCGGATAAATCAGATTTGGTTCGGGCCCTCCCAGAGAACGACAGAACACGGCAAAAGCATGCCGGTTCTTGAAACAGGAAGGCGCCTAAAGTAGAGTGGGAATTGAGCATCCAGAAATACCGGAGGAGGAGGAAGATTGAGGGGGAGGAGGATGAGGGGAGAGAAGGAGGAGTCAGGAGGAGGAGGAGGCATGAAGGAGGAGCCGCCGATCAACATCCGGGCTCTGGAGGGGGGCGGGGGCCTCCGAGCGCCTCCGCGCACCTCTTGGCCCCCCCCCCCCCCAAAGGAACAACAACTACTCTCCGGCGGTCGGCCGCCGGGCCCTCGAGGCCTCCAGCGGCCAGAGGGCCCCGGCGGGGCTCGACCGAGACGGTGCTCTCGGCTCTCGTTTGGCTGCCGCTTTCTGCTCGTGTCAGGTCGGGCCTGTCCCCCCTATACAAGGGGTTTTGGACGAGAAATAGAAGATACGCAAAAAATGCTCAAGAGATGTCCAAACATATTCCCCAGGCTATTTTTTGACTATTTTGAATATTCCCCCTGTAGGGGGACAGGCCCGACTTCATACTCGCGTTGCCTTCGGCCCGCCTCTGCTGCAAGGCGATGGGGGAACGAACGCGACCCTCGCAATCTCAACGACACCGTTTAGGTCGAGCCCTGGGCTCAAGACCTTGAGGGCCCGAGCAGGCTCCGAGAGGGACCCCCGACGACGGCTCGAGGCTGGCCTCGCGAGAACCCGCGGCGGCGCCAAAGATGACCCCAAGGCGCCCCCGAGAGGCCCCCGAGATGGCTCCGCGGAAGGCCCGCCGAGGGCCGAGTTACCCCAAAGCCTCTTTTTGTCAGCGTCTCCCATCCTTCGGCTCATAACTGGCCAAATATGGTCGCACGATGGCCCCGAACGGAACCGAGAACCGAGACCTCCTCCTCCTCCTCCTCCTCCTCCTCCCTCCTCCCTCTTCCCTCCTCCCTCCTCTCTCCTCCCTCCTCTCTCCTTCCTCCTCCTCTTCCTCCTCCTCCGCCTCCTCCGCCGCCTCCTCCTCCTCCTCCTCTTCCTCCTCCTCCTCCTGCCCCCCCTCCTGGAACCGAACCTGCCGAACTGGACTGGCCGGCCGAACCGGCCGAACCGAGCCTGCCGGACCGGACCGGCTGGCCGAACCGGTCGAACCGAGCCTACAGGGCGACGGCGACGGCAGCGACGACGACGACGACCCCCGGGCCCACCCAGGGCCCGCGTGGACCCGAAGCAACGGTGACGATGACAACGACGACGACCCCGCGTCCCCCTCGGGGCCCCTGGCGACGAAGACCGACGCCGACGACGATGGCCGACGACGACCGACGATGACGACGATGACGACTACGGCGGCGACGACGATAACGGCGACGACGGCGACGACGACAGCGGTGGCGGTGACGACGACGACGCTGACGCCGACGGACGACGGACGGCGGACGGCGGACGGCGGACGGCGACGGCGACGGCGACGGCGACGGCGACGACGACGACGACGCCACCGCCGACGACGGACCGACGACGACGGACCGATGACGACGCCCACGCCGAAGCCGACGCCGACGACGAAAACGACACCCGGGGCCCTCCTGGGGAACACCGACGACGCCTTCACCAGGGCCTCCTCAGGGCCTATGGGGACCCGAACCAGGGGTGACGACGACGACGACGACGACGACGACGACGACCGACGACCCCAGGGTCTCCTCAGAGCCCGCGTTGACCCGAACTGGGGGCGACGACGACGACGACGACGACGAGGACGACGACGGCGACAACGACAACGACGCCGACGGTGACAGCGACGGCGACGACGCCGCCGCCGACGCCGACGACGGAGCGACGACGGCGACGACACCTGGGGCCCCCCTGGGGAACACCCCGAGAGCCTCCCCAGGGCCCGTGCGGACCCGAACCAGGGGCGACGACGACGACGACGACGACCGACGACGACGACCGACGACCGACGACCGACGACGACGGCGACGAATCCCGACGATGACGACCGACGACGGCCGCCGACGACGACGACGACGACGATCCCTGGAGCTCCCCTTCGGCTCCCCCAGGGCCCCCCTGATGGAAGACGCCAAGAGGGCCCCAACAGAGCCCAAGAGGGTCCATGGGGGGCCGAAAAAGGCCCCGACACATGCCCAAGTGCACGGCCACACAACCCAAGACCGCCCCGAGAAGAACCCTGAAAGACTCCTGCGATCACCCAAGCAGTTCCAAGAAGCCCCATGAGAGTCCCGACCCACAACCAGACGCATCATCACGACGCCGCTCTGCTGGGGGTCGGCGTGAGCCTCTCGAGTAAAGGTTGTTGAACGACCACATGCCGATCAAGGTCGTGGCGGAGTACAATGCCGTCAACACCTGCAAAAACACGAATGCCACAGACCACTCCGAGGCAGGAGCACGCGCAGAATACAGGCGTGCGATGTGGGCGCACGTGTCGACGGTGCCGGCAACGGGGGCCACGACGGCGAACTGCCGCATCCCCAGCGCCATGAAGTAGATGTCCCTGTCGGTTATCCTGCGGGCGCAGCACCGCCACCCGAAGAACAGACACAACGGCGGTTGCCCGAACACCGGGAAGGGCTCCCTGGGAAGGTGCTCCTGCACCCTCACCCACCCGCCAGCCAGCAGGTACATCAGCTCGGCCAGGCGGACCACCGCGAAGGCGACCTGCACGGTGCGCAGCAGCGAACAGATCGACTCCAGCCGCGGGAAGAGCATCTGCGCCAGCGCCGTCACGGAGAAGATGGGGGGCACGAGCAGAGGACCAACAACAACTGCATAAACATATGCTTTGCGAGCATCCTGGCGTCGGCGCCGGGCCCATCTCTCTCCCCACACCCATGGAAACGCCCTCGGCGCCGTGCTCCGCGCGCCAAGGCATGGATGTGGGGAGGGGATCCGGCGCCGACCCGAGAAGTCCGCGCCGCCCTCCAAACATGATCTGTTTACGCTGTTGATTTGCTCTTCTAATGAGGATGAGGAGGAGCACCCGGTCGGCGCGGGGTCCGTAGGAAGAGTGCGCCACGAACGGGTTGCCGCCGAAGCCGTGGTGCTCCGCCACCTCCATGTGCTGACGGATGTGCCCCGAAGAGATCACAAGCGTGCAAACCAGGCAAGACCCGGCGACCACCCAGAGAACCACGACCCACCATGGGGGATCCAGGAGTCCGCCGAGGCCCGCCTGCCGGTGAGAGGGCATGTGGGATGTTTGGCCATCTCTGCGCCCGTCCCAAATTGCTGCGGGGGGAGGGGCCCCTGGAACGATCGGCATCCATCATGCGGCCTGCAGAAGGCCCCCCCCAAAACTGCCGAGAGCATCCGCCGCCGTGCCCCCCCCCTGGCACGCCGAGGCGGGGGATCGAAAATGCCACAGGCCGTCTCTGGTAGGGGCTCTGCTGGTCTTCCAGGCCCCCCCCCCCTTCTCCTCACCACGCTGACGCTCGCGGGCACCGCCGCCGCCTCGCGCTCCCGAGGGCCACAGATCCCGCAGATCCTCGCTCCCGAGGGCCACGGCCTCTCGCACAAAAGCTCAATCCGCGCTCCCGGGGCCACGCTCCCCGCTAAAAACACAGCCGTGTGTCCGCGCTGCCGAGCTCCCAAGGGGGCGGCCGAGGCAAGGAGCCAGGGCCGCCGAGATGGCCCAAGACGCCTCCAAGATTGAAGGGGGCCCTGGGACACAAAGAAATAGACACAGATGACAGGATTCCCCATATTGTCTCATCTTTCCTGTTTTTTTCCCGTCTTTTTCCTCACTTCCCATACTTTCTCATATTTTCTGGGGGGTCGCCTATTCATTGTGTCTGTGTTTTTGCCCTCCTGAAAGATGGCCCAAGATGCCTGCAAGACGGCCGGCAGACGGCCCAAGGTGGCCTCAAAGCGGCCCAAGAGGCTCCCGAGACGGCTCTTCTGGGGGCCACAAGAGCACCCCCAGAAGGGCCCGAAGGTATCTAACTTATTGGCTTCCCATCGGTTCGACACATCTTCGTGCCTCTTCATCTTCCCGGGCTTCCTGCAAGATGGCACCAGGACGGCCCATGGGGGCCCCGAATTGCCAAGCCATCTTTCAAAGCCGCCCCCACCCAATACTGCCGAGCGGTGCCGAAGCTGCCCCCCGAGGGCCTCCGGAGGGACCCCAGACGGCATGGCGTGGCCCCTCGACGGCCCCACGACGACCCTGCGTGCGACGGCCTCCAGAGACCCCCCAGACGGTCCACGAGGGCCCCAAGACGAGGCGGCGCGCACAAGGGGGTGGGGGGAGGGGGGAGGGCTTCTTAGAGGGAGGCCGCTCCTCAGAAGGCGCCGGCCTTACATCTGTAGATGAGGCCCGCGCCCTCTAAGAAGCAGGGGTGCTTCTAAGCAGCCCTACCCCTTCCCCCCACCCACCCTCTGCGCGTGGCTGGAAGATGTCCCAGCAAGGGACCCCTAAGACCGCCACACGAGCGCTCGGGACAGCTCCAGTGAAGGCGCCCCAGGACACACAACGAAATACACACAAATAAAACGATTCCCCACATTCTCCCACATCTTTTCTGGGTGTTCGTCCTCCCCCCGACTTCCCATCTTTTCCAACATTTTCCTGGGAGAGTCGACGATTAATCGTGTCTGTGTGTTTCTTTCTAGGTCTTCGTCTTCCCCCCCACTTCCCAGCTTTTCCAACATTTTCCTGGGCGAGTCGACGATTCTTTGTGTCTGTGTGTTCCTTTCCCTCCCGATCCAGAAGGGCCGAAGACCGCGCGCGGCGGCCGGCCGGGCGCCGCGCGCCAGCCGTCGCCGCGCAGGGGACTGGGGCCGGAGGGAGCGAGGCACGAGACTCCCTTCGAAAAGCGACCTCGACTGGATCTCGAGGCCATCGCACTCGAAATCGAGAGGGCGCTTCCGCCCGAGACTCGAGAGCAACACGATGCTCGAACCGAACACTGTGCCGAGGCCCCGGTTGCCCCGCGGGTTGTCGTGCGGTCGTCCTGTGGGCTGTGCTTCGTGTTGTCCCGTTGCCTGTCCCGCGGGTTGTCTCGCGGGGCCGCCGCCGAGGACGGCGCCTTCTGAGGAGCGGCCTCCCTCTAAGAGGCCCTCCCCCCTCCCTCCACCCCCTTGTGCGCGCCGCCGAGTCTTGGGGCTCGTCTTGGGGCCCTCGTGGACCGTCTGGGGGGTCTCTGGGGGCCGTCGCCCGAGCTGCGCGAGCTGCGGGCGCTGGGCGCGCAGGCCCGGGCGCCCGCGCTGGTCGCGGAGGGCCCCGGCCCCGCGGCGCTCGGCGCGGCGGGCCGTCGGGGGCCCCCCAAACGGGGTGGTGACCACACCGCGTGTCAGAGGAGGAAAAGGTACCCATGCCTCTCCCCTTTCCTCGTGCTTCCCCTTTTCGGCCTCCTGGGCTGCCCTCGTCGCCACCGCTTGTCTCGCGGGGCCGCCGCCGAGGACGAGGTGAGACACACCGACACGACGCGGCTGGGCGCGTCGCACGCTGCGGCCGTGATTTTTTTTTGCTCTCCCTCGCCCGTGTACTCGAAGCGTCACACGTTAATGAAGGGGCCCCAGGACACACAAATAAATGCACACAAACAAAAATATTCCCCATATTTTTCCATGTTTTCTGGGTTTTGTCTTCCCCCCCACTTCCCATATTTTCCCATATTTTCTGGGGGATCGACGATTAATTGTGTCTGTGTGTTTTTTTCCCTCCTGAGTTAACCCCTCCCCATCCCCATCCCCGTCCCCTTCGAGACACCCACCAAATTACCACCCCAGTTGGGGATACACCCCTCGAAGTCAGAAGGGAACGGCCTATATCCCCGTCCCGGGGGGGTAAATCGGCCAGTGGGGCCCAGGCTACACCGCTGGGGAGGGGGGTCGGTGAAACGATACTCAGTTGGGGTGCAGTGGGGCCCCCCTCGAGCATCCGCCACCCAAGATCCAGGACTGCTGGGCTGGGAAGGTGGCGGGACTTGCCGCATGCAGCTGGGTGGCCTTCGACGGCTTCTGACTCGCCGGCCCACCGGGCCAGAGGCGTGCCAAGATCTCCGGTGACATTTGTATGATACTTCTACTTCGCGCGCGCGGGGCGGCCCCTGAGGGCCCCCGGGCCAAAAGTGCCCCGGGCGCGGCCTGGGAGGCTCCCCCAGGGCTCTCAGGATCGTCCCAAGAGGGCCCCAAGAGGCACCCAACACGGTCCGAGAGGGGCCCGAGACGCCCGCAGATCGCTCCACGACGCCGAAGCTGGCATCCAGGCGGCCTAGGAGGCCTCCAGAATGGCCCCAGAGGCCTCCCGGGTGCCCCGAGGGGCCTCCAGGAGCACTCCCAAGAGAACCCACAGGAGCAAAATGCATTGCTTTCCCTAAGGTTTTGGACAGATTTGGGCGTTTCCACCTTGTCGGCTTACCGACGCCCCTAGACGGCTCAAGAGGCCCCCAAGATCGCCAAAAGAGGGCCCAAGAGGCCACCAAGAGGGCCCCAAGACGGCCAAAGACGGCCCAAGACAGCTCCAAGACGGCCCAAGAAGCCCCCAAGACGGCCCAAGAGGGCCCCAAGAATACCTCAAGAGGGGCCCCAGAAAGGGAGCACTAAACAACATCTGGAACTCTCGGCCCTCAGAGGCCCCCAAGAAGCCCCAAGAGGATCCCAAGAGGCCCCAAGAGGCCCCCAAGACGCCCTCAGGAAGTCCCCAAGAGGCCCCCTAGCGGCCCCCAAGCGACCTCAGGAGGCACCCCAAATGCCCCCCGAGCACTCAACCAGCCAGCGATCCTCCTCATCCTCCTCCTCGTCCTTCTCCTCCTCGTCCTCCCTCCTCCCTCCTCCATCCTCCCTCCTTTCTCCTCCCTCCTCCCTCCTCCTCCTCCTCCTCCTCCCTCCTCCTCCTCCTCCCACCTCCTTTTCCTCCTCCTCCCTCTCCTCCTCCTCCCTCCTACCTCCTCCTCCTCCTCCTCCCTCCTCCTCCCTCCCCCTCCTCCTCCTCCTCCTCCCTACCTCCTCCTCCTCCTCCTCCTCCTCCATTCCATCCTCCTCCTCCCCCTCCCTCCCTCCTCCTCCTCCTCCTCCTCTCCTCCTCCTCCTCCTCCTCCGTCTACCACCTGCTCCTCATCCTCCTCCTCCTCCTCCGATTCCTCCTCCTCATCATCCTCCTCATCCCCTCCAAATTCTCTTCGACACAATCCACACTCTGCGTTTGAAAGGATGCATGGGTCCCAGGGAGGGAACACGAAAAAACATGTCGAGCCTCCAGCCCTAAGAGGCCCCCAGGAGGCCCCAAGAGGCCCCCAAGAGGCCCCCTAGAGGCCCCCAACAGGCCCACAGGAAGCCTCCAAGAGGCCACCTAGAGGCCCCCTAGCGATCCCAGGAGCCCACACAAATTGCACCCACCCCCACCCAGCACCCGAAGCAAGTGTCACAAGCGATCATCCTCCTCCTCCCCCTCCTCCTCCTCCTCCTCCTCCTCCTCCTCCACCCTCCTCCCTCCTCCATGCTCCCCGGGCCTCCATGCTCCCTGGGCCTCCCTCCCTCGCCGCCGATCTACACATCCGCCATCCCATCCCCCCCACCCACTCCCGCTGCAGCCCCTCGCTCTACCATGCAGTCTCACTCGTCCTACGTCTTCTCCGCCTCCACCTCCTCCAACTATCCGTCTCTCCCGCTCACGCTCTCCATCCAATAGCCTACCCCCAGACACAAGCCCGGGAACACACAGCGAGAAGAGGGAGAAGGTAAGAAGTGACGAGTCTCGGGAGGTAGAC